CAAATTCATCCTCCTTGATCTCCAATTTACTTAAACAGAAATCATACCGAGTCCAAGAACAATGCACAATGGTATTTATATTACCATTTTCATAACTAAACTAATCATTATGTTTTGCATGTTATATGGCCTACCACCATAGATAAGGACGTGAGAATTAAAGAATGCAGGGACAATTTTCAGTTTCACCCAACGAACGATTTTCTGATGTGGCTTATGTGTTTCTGGGGAAATATGTAGTAAATTAATTGATGTTCTACATCACTTCCGTCGCAACTTGAAAACTAAGCATTTGCGACAGAAGTGATGTAGAACATCAATCAATTGAGATCTGTTATTGAAATGATAAAGACTTAAAGACAGGACGAAGTGCTTTTAAAACCTACAAACGGAAGTCAGTTTGCGTTTTTAGGTTTTTCTTTATAGTATTTTTACCAAAAATGCGTCTTTACTGGTCCATGTGTCTTTACTGGTCAAGTAACCCTATCAGGTACCTCCCTTAAGGCCGCAGGCCGCCGTGTCTGAGCCTAAATACACCAAAAAAATCGAAAAAATATGAAAAATGAGTTAATCTTACCAAAAAATAGAGCAAAGATCTGGCAACATTTTGGTGTGCGCCTCGTCTCTGTACGATAATTACATATAAAGCTATCGTAATTATAACAATGGCAACTACGTCATCAGCATGACGCGGCCCAGCTGACCATAACAATAACACGTGCTCCAGCGCGACTCGCTTCATAAAACAGTATCACAGGTATTTTTTTCCCTTTTTTTTGGTGTATTTTTTAGCTAGATCTTCTAAATAGTAACTGGCAACATCAGGTTAGCTGTGAGAAGGAGCTGCTCACACCATATCAAGTCAGTGCCGACTGGAAGTCTGAAGAGAGAGGGGGTGTGTCACTTTGTCTGACAGCTGACTACCCTCGGGACGTTACTTTTTGCCTTTCATTGTATACATTTTTGGTACACAATGCCTGCAAAGAAGAAACAGTTTGCCAAGAACATTAGCAGCAAGAGGAAAAGGCACATAGAAGCAATGATAAGGTCTATACAAGCAAAGAGAGCAGCAGCTGCTGTGGTTGGTGACGCCGCCACGATGCTAGTATCACCACCCTCCTCTCAAGACCTGTCCTTGTTCACTGCTACTGAACTATTAGATATTTCACGTTCAGAAACAAGGAAGACAAAAAATTTGGAGCCCGCAAATATGCCCACCTCCACCACGGCTGCTACTACCACAACTACTACCACCACGGCTGCTACTACCACAACTACTACCTCCACTGCTGCTACTACCTATACTACCTCCACTGCTGCTACTACCACAACTACTACCTCCACTGCTACTACTACCACAACTACTACAGCGTTGTATAAAAGGCAGAACGCAAAACTGTAATGAAAGTCTGATCACGCATATGGTGTTACTGCAATAAAGCCAAATATCAAACCAAGAGGCATGCTGATTTCGCAGTCAGCCATGCTGTTGCTGACTACAATAGTGGATATGTGAGGAGCTGTCTGGACACAGCACTGGGCTACAAACGTTCAGCAGTGACTCAAAAACAACTTGAATTAATGGAGAACATGAAGGAACAACGGAAGCAAAGAGGAATGAAGAGGAAAAGGGAGCTGGACACGTCCTACGAGCCTGGAGGACATTAGATAATCATGTGTCCACCTACATCCAGTCATAGGTACGTAATTATTAGTGTTTTTTTTGGTATATTTTTATATTGGTATGTGTATAAATATCATATATGGGTGCAATTACATGTATCTGTACATAATCACTGGGAATAAGATTTTGAGAATTCATTTCTTTTTTTTCAGATTGATTGGGATGGATTTTTATGATTGGCCGGCCACCAGAGAACTTCAGGACAAAGGGATCTTCATGAAACTTCAGGAATAATGTCTATATAACCAGTTCTACTCTCAATAAACGTATAAAGGCACTATGAGTATTTTTACCCACTGTATAGTAATGTTCAATGTATTTGTTGATTTTTTTCAAAAGTGCATTTATTTGTATTTTTCTGAGGTAAAACCATTATTTATGAACCGATCATTCTGAATTTTACAAAAGTTGTTCAGGGGACCCTGTTTGACTTTCTAATGGAGTTGTCTTGGGTAATAATCCCTTCAATTTTGCATAAATTGATGTAAAGTGCAAAAAAAAAAATTAAATAAAGTCAAGACATAATAATATTTTTTTTGGGTACCATAAAACATGTTATTGCATTATTTATATCCATTAGAAAGTCAATTTGGCATTACTTTATCATTTGTGATTATCAACAATGATTTCGAGATTGCCAATATTGACTTACGTTGCTATAAGTGTTGCCATGTCCAATTTTTCACATTTTTATTTTTTATAACTTTATTTATTGGACGATCTTGATGCAACTTTCACCACATGAGGCTCAATATGCCTAAAGTCTCTGGTAAAAAAATCAACGAAATCGAGCAAAGGAAAAAAAAAAAAAAAATTTAGGCTGCCTGTCATTTAGAGGCGAAAACAAACATTTATCCATACACATCAATGTCTATCAACAACACTTCAGTTAATTTGTCACAGTACAAGTCTAGATAACGTGTAATTACTACAGAAAATTGGAGAGGAATCTCCCATACTCACCCATTAGCGGGAAAACACAGCTGTTCTGATGTAAACAAAGGCGTGTTGAGTGTTGCCATCTATGGTTAGGTTTATTTATTTTTATTTTATTTCATTATTTATTTTTGTTTTGATTAATTTTTAAAAATCAATTTTACTCTCTAAACACTTGAACTTTTTAGGTAGGGACCCCTTTGCACTTGCACCATGTGCACAGTCTTGGATGAGCCCCTGAAACCCTTGGACCGCGGGGCCCCCAAATGCGCGGGGCCCTAGGCAAATGCCTAGTTTGCCTATGCGGTAATCCGGCCCTGTATGCACCTCTAATCTTTTGACTACCTCCAAAAGGATGGGTATGAGGTGCATAGTAAAACTATCAAATTAATATTTGAATATTAGAAAAAGTGTTAGATTTGTCATTATGTACTACAGTAATACTCAGTGATTTCCAAAATTAAACATTGAAATAGTATTTAAAATCTCACAATTAAACTTTTATGCTCAGCCTCACAATAAACACAGAAACGTCTGAATTTAATTAATCTGTGTCAGAGAGAAGGCATAATTGAAATCGGTAATAATATTTAAAGCTAATTCTTCCAACTGACAGGTGGCAAGGGTATGGGAGGTGCGGAAGGTGGGATCCGTGTACCAGGAATCTACAGGTGGACAGGACAACTGCCTGCTGGGGTAACTATGGACACTCCCACCTCTCTACTCGACATGATGCCGACTCTGCTTGACCTGGCTGGCCTTCCATCTCTGCCTGACCTACTGCCTCACCTGTCTCCTAGGGTATGTCCATGATTACCGGTACCACTACTTCATTCCTTCCAGACAGGGCTCCTAATTCTATGATTCTTATCCCTTAAAGAAGTTAATGACCATCTAGCTTGTTCAACAATAAGATTAATGGCAAGCTACAGTATTAATTGTCCTGGAGTTATACGAGACTCACGTTAGTATTTGCAGTAATCAGCTGAAAACACCATATATTTAATGACCTATACACTACAGGATAATTACTTTACAATGGCCAAGCTCTTGGTCTTGTGTATCACAGTTGTAATAATAATAATAATAATAATAATGAGCAAAATCCCTCACACAAACAGTAAGAATATATATCTAAGAGAAGCTAATCACATAAAATAATCTATCACTCTATTTCTCATACCCTAATACAATCCATGAAGAGGGGAAAAATACAGAATACTGTTCTGATATACAGGTAACTCCAGTTTATGCTTTTCCAGCACCATTTCTGCAAGCATTCTAGATGAATCAAAGATTGCCTTGTCAATGACCAAACCAGGCAACATGCCTCGTCTTGGCTTTCCAATACCTTTGCTTTACACACATCTCATACGTAATGTTAATTCTAAGAGTTTAGAGGACATAGAGTATGTGAGCATTGGATTTAATAAAGACAAGCATACCAACTGTCAAGACTCTTAACACAGCACAATACACTGAGGAAATACAATACAGCCTCTCCTCACTTAGCGACGTACTTGTTTACCGACAGCTCAGACTTACGATGGGCTTTCTGACCAGTATGCATACCTAAATAATGAATATTAAGAGTTATTTCCTCTATTATGTGTATTACAGTATACAGTACACTACTGTATAAATATTTAAAAATATACCAGAAATGTTATCAATGGTGCAAAGGTGACATTAAAACAATATCAAAGATGGTTGAAACAAACCCACTACCATTATAATATGCTCCTCACTTAGTGACTAATTCATTTACCAATGTGGTCTTAGGAACAGAACTCCATTGTTAAGTGAGGAGAAGCTGTATTCAAGTTTGCTGGTGCATGAAAAACACACAATACACAGACCACTCATATGAAAATTCAGTGCTTTGTTGAAATTCTTGAATTTAAAGGGTCTTAAATCTGGTGGGAATAATGCAGTGTATGTAAGCTGATGTATGTGTGGAACATGAACATGGCAGGAGCATTTGATATCAGAGCAACTGTAGTGAAACATAGTGAATACAGTTGCTCTAGCCATGTGGGTGTATGTAATATCAAGCTCATCATGTGATTCTCTACATATACTTTATCTTCAAAAGTTAATATAAAGAAAGTTAAGATAATGAAAAGACAAATTGCAGAACAAGTTTTATAGGGACAACGCTTCGCTCTCTTTAGAGCTGTATCAGTTATCTAGGAAAGTGATATCTAATAGTCTTGATCTTTCTTGTTTCTTTCAACAAACCAGCCATATCCCACTGAAGCAGGATGGCCCAAAAAGAAAAACAAGTTTCTCTTTTTAACTTTAGTAATGTATACAGGAGAAGGGGTTACTAGCCCCTTGCTCTCAGCATTTTAGTCGCCTCTTATGACAAGCATGGCTTACAGAGGAAGAATTCTGTTCCACTTCCCCATGGAGAATAGTCTTAATATAGTACTTGATTTCATATTCATAATATATATATATATATTCTTAATTTTAACATGTATAATATACAGTACTGTACATATTATTATCTTTATAAAAAAAAGTTACCAGTGACTTTTAGAAAAACCCTTTGTACAAGTATCCATAATCAAGAATAACTGTATGAGCTTTAAGAACTAATTTTTATTTACTTGATTCAGGACCTGGATGGAGTGAGCATTGCAAAATTACTGACTGATGGAGAGCCACCAGCGTCGCGTTCCCTCCTGCACCACTGTGGTCGTGACATACATGCTGTTAGGGTTATTCATGGTAAAATAAATATATTTTTTAACACAGATTGTCTCCCACTGAGGTAGGAAACCTTTCAATACACCAGAAACATATTCACTGTCACTTACTCAATTGCTGTCCTGTCAGAAGTGTGCTGACCTCACTGTTCAGATGCCCATCCAAACTCCAGTATCCCCACCACTCCTCAAGAGTGCAGGCACTGGACTTCCTACCTAAAGAATTAAAAGTCCAGCTATTCAATTTCCTTAAATCCCTTCATAGTGCTACCTTGTTTATACTCAAACAGCACATTCATTAAAAACCATTTGTCTCCCTTCACTCTTTTCTAATAGAGCCACATAAACATGCTGGCAGCTCAAGCCCCTAAAACTCAAAACCATTTTTTACCCCTTCCCTCCAACCACTCCTGGGATGACCTCTACCCTTCCTTCAAGTGCTGGTTTATTGAACAATACATATTAGTAAAAAGTCTTTGTTTAATACAACTGCATTTTCAGAGGCAAATACACATATTGGAGTCTTTCATCTTAACCAATTTTCCAGCTTAAACAGTATGCATGGAATACCAACGATTTAAATTTAAAAGGATTACATTATATATCCCTTGCTGCCATAAGTAAGCTCCCTATTCATGCTACTTTGTTATTATTGGTTGACTATATGTAAGAAGAGGTTATGCTAACCTATCATACCCCCAGGTTATGATAATTTAGCATATCTAGGTTATATTTAATTTTGTAATATTAAGTTGGGCAGAAATCAAGAAACTGTAATGTGTGTGAAAATGTCTTATTTGAAGAAATATGTAGCTCATGTAGTAACCCCACAAGTCTTTCTTGATAACAAGAATTCCTGAGAAAATTAGTTATAATAGCAAGTATCCTAAACGTTGTGGATATGTATTCTGACTTTGCTGATCCTCGCCAATCCCAGAATATTATGCTATACTGTATTTTAATATTATCCCTGCTGTGATATGATCTGTTAGTGATTACTTGCACCATGATTTCCAAGGTTTATAGCTTTCTGCTGGTAAGTATCTTTGAACTAGCATTGTGCCAACTTTCATTTTAAAGATAAAAAAAATTATCGAGAAACATTTAAGGTCAGTGGACCATGTCAGTGGTTAATATCAATTTTTTCATGTGTATACTGTACCCATTTGTACTTTATAGTTGACATATAATGTATTATTTATTTTTTTATTATCACACCGGCCGATTCCCACCAAGGCAGGGTGGCCCGAAAAAGAAAAACTTTCACCATCATTCACTCCATCACTGTCTTGCCAGAAGGGTGCTTTACACTACAGTTTTTAAACTGCAACATTAACACCCCTCCTTCAGAGTGCAGGCACTGTACTTCCCATCTCCAGGACTCAAGTCCGGCCTGCCGGTTTCCCTGAATCCCTTCATAAATGTTACTTTGCTCACACTCCAACAGCACGTCAAGTATTAAAAACCATTTGTCTCCATTCATCCTATCAAACACGCTCACGCATGCCTGCTGGAAGTCCAAGCCCTCGCACACAAAACCTCCTTTACCCCCTCCCTCCAACCCTTCCAGGCCGACCCCTACCCGCCTTCCTTCCACTACAGACTGATACACTCTTGAAGTCATTCTGTTTCGCTCCATTCTCTCTACATGTCCGAACCACCTCAACAACCTTCCTCAGCCCTCTGGACAACAGTTTTGGTAATCCCGCACCTCCTCCTAACTTCCAAACTACGAATTCTCTGCATTATATTCACACCACACATTGCCCTCAGACATGACATCTCCACTGCCTCCAGCCTTCTCCTCGCTGCAACATTCATCACCCACGCTTCACACCCATATAAGAGCGTTGGTAAAACTATACTCTCATACATTCCCCTCTTTGCCTCCAAGGACAAAGTTCTTGTCTCCACAGACTCCTAAGTGCACCCACTCACTCTTTTTCCCTCATCAATTCTATGATTCACCTCATCTTTCAGAGACCATCCGCTGACACGTCCACTCCCAAATATCTGAATACGTTCACCTCCTCCATACTCTCTCCCTCCAATCTGATATTCAATCTTTCATCACCTAATCTTTTTGTTATCCTCATAACCTTACTCTTTCCTGTATTCACCTTAATTTTCTCTTTTGCACACCCTACCAAATTCATCCACCAATCTCTGCAACTTCTCTTCAGAATCTCCCAAGAGCACAGTGTCATCGGCAAAGAGCAGCTGTGACAACTCCCACTTTGTGTGTGATTCTTTATCTTTTAACTCCACGCCTCTTGCCAAGACCCTCGCATTTACTTCTCTTACAACCCCATCTATAAATATATTAAACAACACGGTGACATCACACATCCTTGTCTAAGGCCTACTTTTACTGGGAAAAAATTTCCCTCTTTCTACATACTCTAACTTGAGCCTCACTATCCTCGTAAAAAACTCTTCACTGCTTTCAGTAACCTACCTCCTACACCATACACTTGCAACATCTGCCACATTGCCCCCTATCCACCCTGTCATACGCCTTTTCCAAATCCATAAATGCCACAAAGACCTCTTTAGCCTTATCTAAATACTGTTCACTTATATGTTTCACTGTAAACACCTGGTCCACACACCCCCTACCTTTCCTAAAGCCTCCTTGTTCATCTGCTATCCTATTCTCCGTCTTACTCTTAATTCTTTCAATTATAACTCTACCATACACTTTACCAGGTACACTCAACAGACTTATCCCCCTATAATTTTTGCACTCTCTTTTATCCCCTTTGCCTTTATATATCTTCAATTTAAATATACTTCCAATCAGGAAATTTGGCATACAAAATGAATCTGGTGGGGTATAAGTGGCAGCCAGGGAGTACGCAGTGTGGCTGGGGCATCGGGACATTTTGCTCGTGTTTTGATATAGAAGACTATGATTATGAGCCTGAACTTTTTAACCTCAAGGAAGACCCATATGAAGATCATCCAATTCCTACAAACAGCTCTCAGTAAGTAATCAATATTTATTACTGTATGGTAAATTACTAATTTGTGAGTCCAACTAATGGAAGGTCATATTAAAGGAAATCCGTACATAATGCTTTTTAAAAAGTATTTTGATTGATTGATTGATCTATTATTTTCATTTACTAAAAAAAATTTTACTAAGTTTATTTAGGTACACGTACAGTCAGACAAATTACCATACATATTATTATTATTATATTCATTGGGGAGTGCTAAACCCATATAGGATTATACAGCACATGTGTGAGGGGGGGGGAAGGGAGTCAGGCTCAATTCAGGGAACTGGAGTTTCAGATCCAATTCCCTATATCAAGAGCCCCATCACCAGCATCAAGGAGCCTCCACTGAAGGGTCCATATATAGTAACATGTGTAAATAACCTAGGATAACCCAAAAAAGTCATACAAAGTGATTATTTTCATTGGTCAAATAATTTTGCTTAGATATATATTGTGAAATTTATTCTAATATGAATGTTATGAAATTGTGAGAAGCAAGAACATTCATACCTAGTAGCACTCAGTGAAGAGGCGGGGCCAGGAGCCGAGTCTCGACCCCTGCAATCACAATTAGGCGAGTACTTGTGCTTGGCATGCTGGACTTTTACATGATAGAGCAAAAAATAAAAAACAATGGAGCTATTTATGGAATAGCAGATTGCCTGGGGTTTGACCTGTGACATTCAGATTGGCACTGGCCACTTTAGCTCTGTAGTACTGCCCTAAGAGAAAGGAGGACCTTGTGATTTTCTCAATTATGAAAATCTGAATCCTATAAGTGTGATCTGAATAATGAGACTTCACTGTAGCTATAAATGTCCATATTAAAATGTAATAATGGGGTGTACAAAATCCCTTAAACATTTCATTATTTTGCAGATATGTGCAGGTGACTATGCTGTTGAAGCAGTTTCTGGCTGAGTGGAGAGTGCGGGTGCCTTACCCACCCTCACAGTTTAAAAATGTTGCCAACACTATGCATTCAATTTGGCTTCAGCCATTCTCTTTATTTTGACAATAATGTGACATAAGTGCTCATAATTTTATTGACTATTTGGGTTATTATTTGTTCTCTAAAATGGAAACCGAGTTAGATAAAAATGAAGAATCTAACAGTGATTATAAAAATGACATGATAAATTATTCAGTACTGCTTTTCAGTACGTGTTACCTACCCACAACTTGCTCAATAATCAATCCTAGGACAACAAAATTCTCTGCACATCATATCTTGACCTAAGGTGTGGGTGCTGTATGTGACTTACATTGCAGTCCTCCTTGTATAATGCTTGTTAATTGAACTTGTCTCATTGTGTTGTGTAATAAAATTGAACAGTCGAAGGAAACAGCGATTTATTTTATCCTTATCAAGTAACTGAAGAAAATTCGGACATTTTATGCTTGGGTAAAATGCCTGCTCTCATAATTGTGAGTGCCTTGACAGTATCAGAGTTACTTACAAATATATATTACATGGTACCACTAATGTTCAAAACTTTCACCGGAAATTCTTACTGCAGTAACCTACCAACTTAAGCGTTGTACTGCAGTATTACATTTTTTTTCAAGTTTTTTATTTTGTAAAGTTTTAAAAATTTTCCCTTCTTCAAACCCTCAGCCTCCTAAAAATTCCTTTCCCAGCTTTCATTATTTTCTGTACGGGTGTTTGGGGCCCCATTTTTTTTTTAGCCCATTTTTTTAATTTTAATAATATTCTGTAGGGGAGGGTTTGTACCCTTAACAACTAATTTTTGCAGTCAAGAGACTTTTAAATCTTTCTTTTTTTCAACACGCTTTCAACACCCACCCGTATCCCCCGGGCCCGGGGGGCCCCAAAAGGGAAAAAAGAAATTTTTTCCTTTTACATTTAGTAATATTTTTACGGGGGAAGGGGTTATTTGCCCTTGTTTCCCGGCATTTTTTTGTCGTCTTAAAAACACGCTGGCTTGGGGAGGAAAATTCTGTTCCATTTCCCCCATGGGGGTTTAAGGGGAAAAATAAACAAGAATTTAGAAAAAAAAATAGAAGAAAAATCCAGAGGTGTGTGTTTCCCGTATTTGTTGAATGTATGTGTACTGTGACTAAGGGTAAGAAAGAATTTAGAAAGACGTCCCCCAAAATCTTCCCTGTTATGGGACGGAAAAAAAAAAAAAAAACCAGAAATCCAAACCTATTTTAAAAAAATTGGGAAAGGCCTTTCGTTTTACACTCACTTGGCAGGACGGTAGTACCTCCCTGGGCGGGCTTGTCTCCCAACCTATACCTGGGTCTTCCTATGTATTTGGTGATTTAGTTTCTTTATTTCATTACAAGGTCAAATAAATGAAGTTTTTTAAATGGATACTCAAAAACCCTAGTAGGGATTTTAAAACATCCCCCAAAAGGGTTCAAAAAATTTTAAAATCAATGTCCAGAAAAAAAGCCCAGTGTAGGTAAAATTCAGGAGCCCCGGGAAAACAAAGGCTAAACCCCTGACAAATCTTTAAAGGGGAAGTGAATCACTCGCTGAAAACTTGGTGGGCAATTAACTTTTTTTTCCCCTATTATATTCACTTATAAAAAGGACGGGCCCCATTTGTATTCATTGTTAAAATTATGTATGTGTTTAGATTTTTTATGTAAATTCCTTTTCTCTCCCCCTTTTTTTTCATCTGCCCTTATATATAATGGGGCCCACTCTGGGAGGGAGGGAGAGATTTCAAAAAAATTCCATTTCTCATTTTGTATGGGATGGGCTACCTTTGGGAGTGTTTTTTATTTTAAATTTGTCTTTACTATACATTCCATTCATTTGTGGGGCGTCAAAGTTTTACGAGGCAAAATGGGTAAAACTGTGGCAGGGTTTTAAAAAACCCAGACAGGTATGCTAGGATTGTACACGGGTGGAGCGGGAACATTGGATTCCATCTCACATTGGTCTTCAGATGATGAAAAGAAATGAACTGGAAAGGATTATATGATTTCCGAAGGGAGTATATAACAATCCGGGGCGGGTCAATTAGAGGGGGAAAAACAATAACATAAAAAAGAATTTAAAACTAAACCCCTTCACTGGCTTAAAAACCGAGGGGGGACAGCATGGTCGGCCCCTTTGTCTTTATTTTTCGGCAGGGGGAAACCAGGTGCCCTATGGTCACCCCTTAAAAAAAGCGACTCTTTGATTTTAAATCAGCCAGGCCCCGGCTGGGTTACAAGTATTTCTGAGGGCGCATAAAACATCACAAAGCTGATGCGGGACATAAAAAAAATGTAAAACCTAGCCAGATAAAATATTGTCACACCTTGCATTATTGTTTTGGGAAAGGGGAAAAAATTAAAATAAATTTAAAAGGTAAGGGGAAAAGGGGGCAATTCTATTTTAAGATTTGTAGTGTAATAAACCCCCAAAAAGGGGAATACTGGCAAAGGGGAAAAGGGGCGGCCTTTTAAGAGGCCTATTTTCAAAAATGCGTAGGGAAAGTCACTGGTCAGGGGGAAATGGGAAGCATCGAACTTAAGAAAAGGAAAATTTTAGGAGGCGGAATCGGGGGAAAAAAATAAAACCCCTAAAGGGAAATCAAAAAAAACCCCAAATTATTTTTTTTTCCTATCCCAAAAATTAAAAGTCGGGGAAAAAACCGTCCAGTTTTTGGGGCCCCCCTATTTAAACAAGTTGGGTCTCCACAGATGACAGAAGGAAATGAGTGAGCTACTCAAGTTCCCCCGTTGACTCAGTTTTTAGCAAGCCGCTAACCGACTGAGGTCGAAGATCAAAATTTTAAATTTTTTTTGAAAACCACGAATTTTGGGTTTAAAAAAAGCCTATCTGATTATTCCCCCTGCCCAAAAGACTTCAAACAGGCGATAAATGAATGCCCATGCACTTGGGCCCCCGGGCCCGACTCATGGAAACTCCGTGTTCATCAAGAACTGCAAGAAGCCCCCATCATGAGCTTTTACCATTTTTATGGAGGGGGAGCCTGGGAACGGGGGTCATCCCCCCGTTACTAAAAACAACGACATGGCCCCCCTCCACAAAAGGGGGCAAATAAAGCAATAGCAAAGAATTTCAGACCGATGCACTAACATCCCTATCATAAAAAAACTTTGAAAGGGTCCTAAGAAAACAAGTCGCCCCCATCTAGAAACCCATCAATTACCCCAACCCAGGGCAAATGGGTTAGAAAACAGGTCGCTCCTGTCTGTCTCGGGGCATTTGGGTCATACGACAAGGTCCTAGATGCATAGAAAACAAAAAGAATGCAGATGTAAAATCACAGACTTTGCAAAAGCCTTCGACAAGTGTGCCCCTGGCGTAATTAATGCACAAAATGGGGTGCTAAAGGAAAAAAAAGGAAAAGTTGGGCGATGGATCTATAATTTCCCCACAAAAAAAAACACGAGTAGTAGTCAACAGAGAAAGTCCGAAGGAGGCAGGGGTGGGAAAAACTCTGTTTCCCCAAAGGGACCGGGACTTGCTCCCATCTTGTTCTCATCCCCAAATTTGAAAGGGCAAGGATGTCAGCCACAGGGACCTTGTTTCCCTTTTCAAATGGCACCCCAAAACTGCTTGGGGCAGGTCTTCCCTTTCAGACACTGCCCAAAGGGTCCAGGTGGACATTAAACCCAAAAACTTTCAGTGGGCTGGAAGAAAACAATATTTAAGTTCCCAAAGATGGGGGAAAAATTTTAATTAATTGATATGGTAAACAGAGGAAATTAAAATCTTTTATTTAGAGTACAAAAAAAATTTTGGCCCCAAAATAGAGCCCAAACACCAAAAATCCCAAAAACCTGGGAGTGATCATGTCAGAGGATTTTCACCTTTTTAAGGGGCCAAAAACTTTTTATCAATCGCAGCTGCTAGGGAAAAAAGCAGGATGGGGTAATGAGAACTTCAAAAAAAAAGGGTGCCAAGCCCATGATGACCCCTCTTCAGGTTTACTTGTTCTTCTAGGCTGGATATTGGGTGACAAAACCGCACCTTTCCCAAGGGAGGTTTAAATTGTTTGGACCTAGAAAATGTACAGAGAACCTTCACGGTGCGCTTTAAGGGAGATAAAACACCTCAATTACTGGGAGCGCTTGAGGTTCCTGAACCTGTATTCCCTGGAATGCAGGCGGGAGAGATACATGATTATATACACCTGGAAAATCCTAGAGGGACTAGTACCGAACTTGCACATGAAAATCACTCACTAGGAAAGCAAAAGACTTGGCAGACGATGCAACATCCCCCCAATGAAAAGCAGGGGTGTCACTAGCACATTAAGAGACCATACAATAAGTGTCAGGGGCCCAAGACTGTTCAACTCCCTCCCAGCATACATAAGGGGGATTACCAATAGACCCCTGGCAGTCTTCAAGCTGGCACTGGACAAGCACCTAAAGTCGGTACTTGACCAGCCGGGCTGTGGCTCGTATGTTGGTTTGCATGCAGCCAGCAGTAACAGCCTGGTTGATCAGGCTCTGATCCACCAGGAGGCCTGGTCACAGACCGGGCCGCAGGGGCGTTGACCCCCGGAACTCTCTCCAGGTAAACTCCAGATATCCTCACTGACCTTTCAAAGGTTCCCAAATCGCAAAATTGAGCAAGATATTTGTTAAGTGATAAATTGGCTAATGGTTACATTTGTTTTTTAATGATACATCAACATCCATTTTATTTACAAATTTGACTTTTGGAAAATCGAACAAGATTAATGTAAACTTAGGTTAAGAAAGGTTTGCGAGGAAACCTTTGGGTTATCCTAGGTTCTCTACACATATGCTGCTATGTATGATAATTCTATGTAACTGTATTGTGTATACCTGAATAAATTTACTTACTTACTTACTTACTTATTCCTGACGTGGGTCTTAGTCATATGATGTGAAAATTTGTGTGGACTGCCTCCAAGTGAGTCGCCTACCCTGGCAAACTCTGTTGACACCGAGCTCTGAGGTGGGTACCTCAGCCTCACAAGTGGCTTATAGGACAGATTTTCACAAATGATTGATGTTGCAAGAAACTCGCCTGCATGCACATATAAAGAACTAACTTACTGGGTGTTGCAGCATATATCCTGATCTTCAACTTCCCTAAGTTTAGCCTTAGCCCCTTTGGGCTTCCCCTCAGAAACCACGTGCAACCGGGAGCCTGAATTCCTGCAATATTCAATCGTTATTAGTGACCTGCCTGCACCTCAGAAATTCCTATATCCAAGAGGGTGTGTATCCCCTAGTATAACTATGCAGACACAGACACTAGCTTCCAGACTGACAAGAGACACTGGTACTTACTGGGCATGCACTGCCTGCTGTGCAAAGGGCCTACAGATCAACTCACTCACAATTCTCCCCAGACACTGGCCAGAAATCTACGAGA